TCACGTCGTGCCTTGTGAGACGGTAAGGATTTTCTGCGACAACACGACGGCGATATATGTATCAAAAGAGCCACAATTCAATAAGAACTCCAATCATATAAAATCATGTTTCTATCACTTGAGGAATGATGTGATATTGAGAAAGATCGAGATCCACATAACTAAATATTCCAGTAGGAGCACCTGTTAGTATTTGACATGCCAACTGGAACAACATACTATAGTGTTGTTCACCCATGAAACCCATATGTGTGATGCGGGTTGTATGGCTACAGAAGGGAGCAACTTATTTGAAGAACTCTTTTGAGCCCATGAACATACGACCCCATGCGATGAGGGTACGTAATGATCTTCTGTGACAACAGGTCTATGATTCGTGATGTGTTATTAAAGATGGACTGCGACCACTTTTGGGATGATATTCGAGCAGCAAAGAGAAAAAGGCGTTACCTCTATAAATCTTTTTATAAAAAGATTGATGGTGAAAGCCATGATTAATGTATTGAGAGAGAATAAGTAAAAATTGCTTGAAAGAGATATTGTAATTGGGAGAGAGAGATGAGATGAGAGAAAGTGAAGAAGAGAGAATGTAAAGCCCTTGAGAAAGTGAGGAAAAAAGAATGTAAGGCCTTCAAAGGCCAAGTGGGAGATATTGGATGAGCGTGGTCATTAAAGGGCTTATGAGTATTTGTAAAATGAAATGATATAGTGGAACATGAACTCACTGAGAGTGTGGTCCCTCATGGACCGTACTAAGCAAATGATATTTGATGATACCGGACTGTGCATGACAATCTAGGTTAGTCAGTTAGAAAAAACCCATGTTACTAGGCATAGAGTATAAACTGATAAGGGTTCTAATGGGTCATCCCGAGGTCGGAGTATGCCCGGATGAGTGAGCTGAAGGACTGTGTGATGGTGGCCTTCAGAGACAGGGGCTAAAGCCTCATCCATATACCATCACACGACATGCATATTGATAGACCGTTTCGAGAAAGCAAGCCACCTTTCAAGGTGAAGCGTATGCATGTGCAAGAGATATCCCTATGCGCCATAAGAGCTGTGGTCTCATCAGATCTAGGTGACATTGGCCCGTCTCTAGGGGAGAACCTAAAACTCACAGACTGGGATTGCAACCCCTTGGTTCATCGGTTTGACTTTGATGACCCACTAATGAGCCCTTGCATGGACTGTGGGTCATGAAAAACATTGGGTCGGTTGGATAAAGCAAGTGTGGTTTGTAGTCTACAATTGAAGATGGAGTGCCTCAGTGTTCGATTGATTTAATTCCTAGACCATATGTATCATTTTATCATCTAATGCATTTAATTATGTTTATTTTATGATATATATGATTTTAAAATTATTATTTGAATTTTCTAGATCTCTGGATATTTTATTTATCAAATTTGGATCTATACAATAAGAGATATTGATTTTACAATAGTTTAAATATTCAAATAATATTTTAAAAAATTATTTTATTAATTTTAAATATATAAAAATTTCATGGGGGCCCATTGTGCACATGGGCTCACCATATTTTTAGAATGTGGGGGCCATGAATCCCTTCCTTGGGTGGCACACCCCACCCTGTATTCTCTTTTCTATTTTTTTGGGATATGGTATGTGGCCATATGATTGGAAGATATTGACTAAATATTGACTTGATATATCTTTAAAAGATTTTGTAAAAAGATTGAGTAAACTTGTGTTAATTTATGATATGCACAATATTTTGATTAGATTTATTTTATTTTATTTCTAGAATATTGATGACCATCTATGGAATGGATAACTCAAATCTCTCACCGGACAAGTCACTCAAGATCGATGGTTCATTTTCAATCTCCTTAGAAAAGGCAAGCTAAGAAAAACCCTAAGAAACCCTAATATTGTTCAAAGCTTATAAAAAAGGGATTATCTCTACCTAAAATCTCTATACTTTATCTTTATATCTCTCTCCTAAGAAAGTTTTTCTCTCTCTTGAATGCCCAAAGGGGGCACGTCCTAGTCTCTCATCTTTGATCTCTCCCTCCCACATTGTAAAAAAGGGCTAAGGGTTTAGGCTATGGCGTTCTTCTCTCTCCCATCTCTCAACTATGGATTTATGGTTAAGGGTTTTTAGGTATAGCAAAAAGGGAATCTCTCTCTCTCAAACTAGATTGTTAAGGGAATTCACCTAGGGTTTGAGTTTGTGATCAAATGGGTTCATGTTTTATTGGTGTGCCTTGGCTTAAATTTACTTTCCTTGCTGAGATTAAAGGTTGATCATTGATCCCGTGCCATGGATGGTGGTGACTCGGTGTGGAGTGTAATAAGTCGGGTTGAGGTAATCTTCAACACTCTCTTTTTGTTTCTTGCTATATTTAATTAAAATGGTTTTATATTTCCAAGTTTAAGAATTGTGGATTTTTTTTTTTGTTTAAAAAAAATTGATTTAATGACATCAAGATTTTTAAGATCTTGGATTTGTTAGTTTTATTTTCCTTGAAGTAAATATTATTGTAATAAGACTACTTGTAAGTGATTTTTGCCAAAAGAAATGAAACAGAAAAGAAAATAGATGAAAAGAAAAAAATAAAAATATATATTTCTCGACAAGATCACATTAGTCTTTCTTTTATTTCTAGGTTCCTAATTCTTCTCAAGAAGTTCTAAAAAACCAAATATTGGTAGTCATATTCTTGAGTTTTAGTTCTCAGTGTGTTCAACCAGATGACATGCTAAAGATAAATATGCTTCAAACTTAGCATAGCAGCATAATGAAGGTCTTACACAGCAAATATTTTGTTGAACCTTTGGGGACATTATTGTGAACCAATTGAACCAGAAAGTTTTGGCTTTCTCTACAGCTATTGATTTCTTTTGTTCTTCTTCTTCTTTAACTTTCATATTGATTTCCTAGCATATTGATTTCCTTTTTAACTTTCATGAGGTGATTGACTACAAAAACAACTGGCAATACAGTCGAATCTCATCGGATGAGGGACATGTGGCCATGAGGGCTAGCAAGTGCTCTCTGATTGAAGATAATGAGGTAACAAGTTTTTAAAGTTTAAAGTTTTGGTTCCCCTCAGGAGTAAAATATATTTTGTCCTCTGGCCAAAACATATGCTAGGAACTTAGGATATTGTTTGCCCCCAGAAGTCATCAATCGTTCTGCATCTCTAACATCTAAAATCAATTGTACCCTCTTAAAGTTTCTTGGTTAAGAAGTCCATGAACTTTTCTTTTCCTTCATTATAATTATACCATTGTCTTTTTTACATTTTTTTTTCATTATAATTATACCATTGTCTTTTTTACTTTTTTTCTTTTTAAATAAGGACGTTACTCCTATTTCAGATCTTGAAGGTCCAAAATTTTATATTGGTAATAAAACAACCTCTCGTCGGTAGTTACTAGGCTTAGAAATAAATGGATCTTGAAAATCCAAAGTTCTCTAAACTTCATAATTTCAAATTTTGAAATTTGCCACATCTACCCAGCATGTTCTCTGCATCCAACAAGCCCAAAGGCCACAAAGAACTTTGGATTTTGAAAATGCAAAGTTCCCTAAACTTCAAATTTTGAAAATATGATGTTCACCATACTCCAAAAGTTTTTTGTTGCCCACAGGCTTGGAGGTAAAAGACTTCGGATTTCAACAACCCGAAGTAAAAAATATAAAAAATGGGTATAAACCATAATGAAATTTTCAGGGGAATGTTTTTTAATAACAGTAATTTAAAGGAATATTTCTGTATAAAATATATGTATGGCTTGAAATCCAAGTTCGATAAATCACTCCTTCGAAAATTCAGGCCACAAAAGCCCCCAAAAGTTTGCCTGACCAAATGTACCATGGTCCTGTATCATGCAGCCATCCACATGTCCACCCAAATTTTATTGAAAAAAATCGATTACAATAAATAAAGAAATAACAATTTTATTTTTTGAGCATTCCCTATTGGCAGCATGAAACAATGATCACCATAAAAAAAACCTACAGCCGAAAGAGAATTGTCGGCCTCCATTCTTTCTTATGCTTTTCTTTAGATTTGATGATCGGATCTCGGAGACGATGCAAATGTGAACGCCCTAACCATCGAGCCTGGAGCCCAAATCCTGCATCATTAATATTTATTTTTACATTTTGGGAAGTCTTTAAGTTTAAGGTTGAAATATGTTTAGTGTTTCTAAGAAATAAAAGATAAAAAAAAACCTTACATTATAGAAAAAAAATACAAAGACACAAATATTTTCAATATCACAATCACTCCTGTCCATTAGATTTTAGACCAGATGTTAAAAACGTGTCATTAACTAAAGGCAAAGCTCAAAACAATAATTAACCTTTACAATACACCTCAAACTATCCAATTTGATATCTAATGACTAAGAGTGACTACAGCCTCCGTGTAACAATAGGAAGTGGTCTCATACTATATAAACCTATATTATGATATAGGGAGCACGAAAAAAATGAATATAACAGTCAATATTCACTTTTATTCCTAAAAAGTTGAGCATTGATTCCTGATCCAATCACCAAAAAATTAGACAATACGAACAACATTCTTTGCCTCATTTACAACGGAGAAAGATTGTACTAATTCAGTGAAGTTGGAAATTTAATTGCCAAAAGATTTCCTACTCTCACGAGTATACTATCTTTTTACTCCCTCCGGTGAAACACATACTAGGGGTACTTTCGATATCTCAAATTTGGGGGATGTAAACTCTACAACTGGAATAATAATACCAGTAAAAATAAATAAAATTTCTGAAATAAATTCTCTATGCACCAGAACAAACTAATGCCTCAAATATGATTAAAGACCAATCCCATTTTTAAAAGGATAGATCTAATTGTCACAAAACTCAAAATTTTCCTTTAAAAATAATTGTTTAGTAATTCTTATAAATTTTAGACTTGAAAAATACTCCTAAATAGGTGTTTTGAACGAGGGAATAGATCCCCAGTGTGCTCCCACAGAAGCATTGTATATCCTATCTAATTGCCAATCATTTAAGCCTTTTTTCACTCATCACAAGCACATGCTTACCAGTAACATACTAGAGGCTCCTCATACAACAAAAACCGAGGAAAATATTATCTGATATACAAAGGGCATGAGATGTCATATGCTACAAATCGATTCTGCCGAAGCAGATATTCATGATACTGTTGTCGGTTCTTCGGCCACTATTCTTGTGTTAAATAGTCCAATGAAAGCACGAGATCTGCAACAAATTCATCGAGTTACCGAAGAAGATGATAATAAGCATTAGAAGATTAATTCTCCCGAAAGAAGAGATGAAAGAAAACTACATACCTCCAATTAGCTCCATCGAAATCCTTTGGGTTTAGCAAAACTTGAGATGGGGAGACCCCAATGATGATTCATGCTCAAAACACAGCCATCCAACCCCATATTTTTATTGTTAAAAAATCTATAGTACACCTGAAATCATAATTTTACAGTTGACATGCATATCAAATAGTTGGATTAGATTAAGCACCGTGGCCTGCCAGACTCCGCAGACAGATTTGGCCCATATAGCAAGTTTTGAGCTGCTCATGGAAGACAAATGGTGGATAGTTACAGGAGTTCCCAAATGCATCAAGTGGATCAATACAAAAATAAACCCTAAACTTGCACAGGGGGCAAAAATATCCCGCAAAATAATACAACAGTGCCTGAGGATGCCTCACAAAAATCTGCATGAACCTCAGCTGGTACAAAATCAATTGTACAGAACCATAGCAACTGGTATCCAAATGCCCCGCTAGCACAAAATATCTTCAGTGAAGAAACTGAGAGCTGCTTACACAAATAACAATTGTCAAACAGTAGAATAAGGTCACTATAAGCATAATCACAAGGGAAAGCATAATCATTTGAGGTCATCACCTTCCCTTGAAATGATGGATGGTCATGACGATGGGATCATTATGCTGTGAACCTTCTACATGATCTCCATCCATCATTTCATCAGACTGATGACACCGATGAACTATGAGTACCTCTCATACACTAGATTATAGTACTTCTGGCCAAATGCCAATCAGAAAGGGAGAAACAAAGGAAGGGATAAATGAGTACCTGAACATCAAATATTGCCCATCCTTCGGTTCCTCATGGGCGATGGCACAAACCAATCAATAAATTAATCAATCAACCAATCAATGAATTCAAGTACCCCCTTGGGTGTTCTGTACACTAAGCAATTGCTACTACTTCACGAGCCAGAGTGCCAAATGAATTCAGGTAATCCTCATAAACCAAAACTCAATGCAAGCCCAAACAACCAACCAAACAAAGTTAACCTTAAGCTTCTGATTCCAGACAGTTTCGGTTTGGGCTTCCTGAAACTCCACAGGCATGGGGGCTAAGCTTTAATAAATCCAAGTAGCAGAGTGTCCACAGTTTCTTCAAATAAAGACCACCTGATTCCAACTCAATAAAAGGTCTTGTTCGTCAACTTATAATTGAGAACCCATATCGTTTGACAACTGAATAATACCACGCATCTGAAGGTATGGATTCTCTAGAAGCTTCTCGTTGTTGCTCTGGTGAATTAAGGTGTAACATAAAGTGTTAATCTAAACATGAATATCAATACTATATCAGCTTGTGCATTAAGAGGTACCATAAAACGCTAATCTCATCATGAATATCTATACTACATACGCTTCCCTAGCAGCATATATCTATCTATCTACTATATATTAAGCACGAGGAGGTACTCCTTTATAATTTTGACAAGTGTCTTTTTGAATTCCCATTTTGTCCATTTATGTTTTACTCTGTAAATCTCCCTCAATTAATGTGTATCTCATTAAATGTCTATTAATATCTCTCTCTCTCTCTCTATCAAAATTAATGTCCCATTAAATTTCACTTAAATCGATATTTGCCAAAATAGCATGTATTTAATCATTAATTGAGCACTGCATAAAGTTCATATTTCAAAAGAAAGATAATAATATATTAAATATGTATAAATACAATCATATAATAAAAACACAAATTCTTGGCATGTTTTGTACTTCCATTTTCGGGTACTGCAATTTTTATAATAATATTTACTAATAAATTGAAAGTAATTTTAATTATTTTAAAAAATAATAAAAATACAAAAAAGAGGTAATTCTATTTTTACAATGTGATTTTAAATAATTGTTAAAAATAATTAACCAAAAATACTTACATTAGTAAATGCAAAAAATAAAAACGAAATTCCTTCTCTACTTTCCTTATGATACTTACTTATAAGTATCAAATATTTTTACTAATATAAATAAAATAATTTAATTCTTGTTAGTAAATGATATACTTGTAAATATAAAAAGATATACTTGTAAATATAAAAAAAGAGCAAACAAAATAATAATTAACTGTAAAATGCAGAAATATAATTAATAATTAACTGTAAAATGCAGAAATATAATTAACTCAAAAATAATTATTTTAAGAAAATTAATTACCTCAAAATGCAAGCTACATCAATAAATAAATATAATTAACTCAAACAATAATCATTTTGAGAAAAATAATTACCTCAAAGTGCAAGCTACATTAATAAATAAAAATAATCAAAATTAGTACATGGAAAAAAATAAACTCCTCCATTTTTATTTATTCATTTCTATTTTTATCTTTTTATTTTTTATATTCTATCTGTAATTTTTGGGATTTCCAAAATCTAAATCTAAATTAAAAAAAAAAAAAACAAAAGGGAAAGAGAAATAGAGGAGTATTTTCTACCTTGAAATGACAAAAAATAATTTTTACCAACATTATTATCAATTTTAATTGCAATAGATATCTCATTATTATGGGTTATTTAATATATGCATCATGTCACATGTTTCTACAGTATCATTTTCTCTATGTTCTAGAATGATAAGTAAATAATATAATAAATATAACTGAAGATAATTTCAATTATTTTAAAAAATAATAGCATTCAAAATACGAAAGATAAAACAGAAAATAATTAACCAAAAATGCTAAGTCATAATATATTAGTATATAAAACAGAAAAGTTAACACTTATATCAGTAAAAACACACACACACACACACACAAAAAATATAATTTCCTCTCTATTTTTGTTTTGGACAGGGTTTCTAAGCGGCCAAGCCTGCATATGTAGAAATGCGGTTCTCTTAATAAAATGTATTTTTGAGATGGATTTTAAGACTTAATTTTTGAGGACATGAAATCTCTAACATGGAGATCATGAATATGAAAAACTAAATAAACTTTAAAAACTAAAAATAATAATTCTGGTAAGAAAACATTTGGACCATTAGTTTCCATTTTTTTGAGATGGAACACCTACTTGCATCCATCTTTAAGATGGATGCTTTACACTTTCTGGACTGCATACGTAGAAATGCGGTCCAGCCCGCATGAAACAATTTTCCTTCTCTTTTTGGTATATGCTTTGTCAAGCACCATACTCTCAATCACTACTTCCATCCAAATAATATAATTGAAATTATTTTAAAAAAATAATTACCTCAAAATGCAGTTATAAATAGAATTATAATTATATTTTGAAGTTTATGTGATATGTCTTTGCATTTTATTTTTTTTAGTATTCCAGAATAATTTTACTTATGAATAAATAATATATTTACTACTATAATAAATACTAATTTTAGAGTAGGTTAGAAAATAATATAATTGAAAACACAAATGTTTATTATTATCTAATAGAAGCCCATATATGAAGATGGATCCATCAAATTCTCTTTCTTCTATAGACCCTTTCTATAAACGAATTTTATGCCTTTTTGAAAATTTTATTTTAAGTTCAAAATTTTATTTCAGCATTAATATTTAATACGTGCAACGCATGTGCACATCACTAGTCATTAAAATATCATGCTACAACATAGGCTTAAAGTGAAAGTGAATTTTGGTGAAATGCATCTATCAACATTCATATGTTGACTGCTACCATTTGAGCAAATTGCAGACAAACAAATTTTTTTTTTTTCAGGAAACCTTGGACCAAATTTCAACTGGAAAACAGGAATTACATACTTATTTCAATATATGTTACAAATGACACCTTTTGCAAAATTTTGACAAAAAGTTTGGTCAAAGTTCCAACAACAGCTATTTTCACTTTAAAAAAAGGAAAAAGTTTATGAGGTTAGGCCCTAAACAATCAACCTAAGACGCACCTCAAAAATTCACTATAAGTTGTTTCAATGCCAAAAGCCCTCAAATCTGATTGTCTGGACCTTGAGATACATGGACATAAAAATAAAATGGACTCCCAAGTCTTGAACATATTGTATCTTATAATGCATTATCTAGACCGACAATTTTCAAGTGTTCAAAGAGATGCTTGATTTACACTATTTTTTAACTTCAAATTTTATAACTAGCAATGAAAATAAATTTTCAGGCCATCATAAAGATTTTTGGCATTGAAACAACACCTTTCAACATTATTTAAAGACGCGCCTTACTTTGATTGTTTAGGGCCTCAGCTTTATACAAACCACGCCCTTAAAAAAATGCTATTATTATTATTATCATTTTTTTTAATCCGTTAACTTATTATTATTATTATTGTTATTGGTATTGTTATTGCTATTACTGTTGCTATTGCTATTGCTATTGTTAGTGTTATTCTTATTCTTAATCTTATTATTATTGTTATTATTATTATTATTACTATAGAAAAGGAAAAGTTTGTATAAGGTGTCAACCTTATATTATTGAAGCAACTAAAAAATCCTCAAGAATAGAGTGTTTGACGTAGAAAACCCTCCAATTGATCATCTCAATATGCACACAAAAAAAAAAAAAAAGAATTTCAAGTCCTGAAATAGTACATCTTGTAGTAAGTTATCTGGACTATCTGTTTTCACGATTTTCATATACTTATAGATTTGCTCGATGTGTAAGACTTTTAAAATTTTAAATTTCATAACTAGGGATGAAAAAAGATTTTCAAATCATCATATAAGGTTTTTGACACCAGAATTATATCCCCAGGCAAAATTTAGAGGTGCACCTTACTCCTACCCCTATAGAAAATGATTTCTGAGCTTTTGTCCAAGTTCCACTTTCAACGAAAATCTTAGCCAAAATCATTCGGATACCTAAAACTTTGAGCTTAAGTAGCACAATACCTGTTGAGCTCTGAAAACAAGATTGTGAAGGGTGCGTTGATACGTTTCAGGTTTTTCCATCATAAGTCTCTGTAATTCCATACCTTGAGTCAGTATAATGAAACAAGAATCCAAGAAAGAAACAACCGAGGAAATCCAGAGGAAAAAAAAAAAAAAAAGCTAGAAATGTGCAATTTAGATGAGGATATCTTGCACAACAAAGAAGTCATCGTATAATAGCAGCTTAAGAAGTACCTTCAAGAGAAAAGCAGAGGTATAGTATGCCACCCTTGCATCAGAATCATCTAATAAGCTCCTGTAGAGCAATCAAATGCTATAAATGGTCAGCATATGATACATTTGGGCATATAATGAAAGTTTAAGAGGCATATAATGAAAGTTTATGAGGCACATGATTTGCAGGTTACCTAAAGAATTCCTCACCCCCCACATCTGAAAATGCAGCATGGTCAGCCGTACATTTACCAATCAGAAGCAAAAGAAGTGCTGCTCTTATATCTGAAACAGAGCCTGGTAAGCTTCCTCTTCCTTTGCTACCTACTGAAACACCTAATGCTATGTCATCTGTTACTGCATCAGCAAGTTGTATTAATGGCCAAAAGAACAAAGGAGTATAGACACAGGCCACCAGTTGCATTGGAACACTAGCATGTCCCCTCAAAAGTAATGCTGCCATGGATGCTGTGCTGTAATCTGCATGACGCATATGGGAACCCAATGTGCTTCTGCTAGATTCAAGAGACTGAGATCCAAGAGGCTTCTTTGCTAGGTGACCATCAAAGGGATCTCTCCCAGCAAGGTCATTTGGTGATTCCTTACTTCTCACTTTAGGAGTGGGAGCTTCAGAAGGTGGGTGTAGTTTCAGACATAATTGAGAGAAAAGCAGATCGCACATCTGTTACATGAGCCATAAATGGTGAGAAAACCTAAGCTTTGGGTGGAGGAAGGCAAATCATTAACTAATAAGGACTTGAAGATGGATAGGAACCCATCACATACTTGATCCAAAAAAGAATAGAAACCCATTATATACATTTTCAGAAAAAATAAATAAATAGACTAAGAAAGTTGATCAGGGAATAACAAAGAACTCAATGTACTGCACAGGAGTCACGTAACCTGTACAAGTTTTTAGTAGTGTTAGTATTTTAGTTCACTAAGATCATAGTCCTTATCCAGAAAACCATTTCTGGCTAAGTTCCTAGATCCAAAGATCAGCTTCCAATTATTCATGGAAACCCCGATAATCTGACCATAAGATTCACAACAGAACCAGTAAAATGCCCCCAATAAATCATAAGAAGAAAACCAGCATTTTAACAATGAGGCATAGAACAAAATCAACTGTAGAAATTTTCTGAGATAGTCAAGGAAAGTGCAGGCTTAACTCAAAAGTAAAAGAAAGTCCTTAAAATGTACAAAGGAAGCCCTAAAACTCCCTAAAACACCTAAGAACATAAATTCAATAAGAACTAAAATTTTAAAGCCCTCACAAATTCACAATTCAATAATATGTAAAGTCCTTGACATTTATTACGATTTCAAAATCTCATTCCACTCAACAAGAGCCCAAATCTTAAAAGCCCACTGGATTCTAAGGATTTGTGGATTACAAATCAAGGACCCAGCCCTAAATGATCAGTAGCAAATGTCCCGAAGTGATATAGGACTTCCTACACCAAACTGGCAAGATCGTCAAACCCGGTAGCGACAACCTCGCAATTACCAAAAGTCCCAAGGCCAAACCCACAAAATAACATGAGCCGCCCTTGCTCTGCCTTTTTTCTTGTGCCATTCTAGGCCCAAGGGGATGGGACTTCAAAAGCTAAGGATAATACACGCTATTTTTTAGTTTTCAAACAGATTGGAGTTCCATAGATACTACAGAATCAATGCAGGATTTTCAATATCATTTCTTCATATCAGGGGTAGATATAAAACTAAAATTCAAGAAAACAGGAAAAGAAGAATAAATAAGTAATATCCACTACCAATGATCACCAGTGCAGTTGGTTTCATTGGAAAATACCTTCAAAATAGTGATGCGATCTGTTTCACTTATTGAGACCACAAGAGACAATGCACTATTCATTATGCCAATAACCACCTTTGCTTTATCAAGACTAGTATTGCTATGATCTTCACTCAAATCATCTCCACCAGGTACCTGCTGCACGTCATTTTCATTTAATAACAATTGACATCTAACAAGGAGCTTCTCCAAGACCACAAGGAAACCCCATCTGATATAGTTGTATTTGGATTTCAGAAGCCCACACCAAATCCAAGTTGGCAAGGAAACAGTGGAGCCAATTTTAGAATCTTGACTTTTAACAATCTCAATCTCCCGCTGCAATTTTTTAATGTTTGGCCTAATATCATTTCCCATATCCCCATAAACGAGCGTCCAGACAAGCAATTCAGAGAGCCAAATATAACCATTTTGGCGATAAGCAGTATTTTGCGAATGAAGAAGTGAATGTAAAGTGGCCCACGCCTGCTTGACTTCATTTGCATCAAGGCTGACTCCTGCACATCCTTTCTCGATGCTTTCCAAAGACTTGAAAGCCTTGGTCATTCGAAGCATATCCACAAACTCTTCATCTGTATGTGTTACTGACGTAATAATGGTGTCAAACATTTTCATGATGTCCTCCAACAGCTATAAAAGAAGTAAAACTATCAGAACCAGAATAGCTAAACTTAAAAAGAGGACCCCATTATTATGCTTTAAAGAAACTAAGAAGTACAATCACCACCATACACTACCAAGCGAATCACCAACTACACTATATAGCAACTGAGAAATTATTTCATTATTTCCTCAAAATTAACTGAGAAACCCATTCCATAAAACAAGGAAAAGAAAAGACCACGGACATGCTTATCATAGAACAAAACGTACTGTGGAATTAAAATGTCCTGAAACGGCAGATCTAGACATAGTTGCAGATGTGGATCTTCTCAATAAGCCTCCAACGCCTTCCAAGCCATACTTAACTGAAACGTGGAATGCCTCGGGTGCATCCAATATGGTTAGCATGGCAGCAATGGGTTGAATTTCATCCGAGCCATACATAAAACCTTCACGAGCCAAGCATGTTTCATTCAACTGGTGCACAACGTAGTCCAAGAGTAGTGCAAATAGATTCCTTTTCTCTTCCATAGTATTTGCTCTTGAATACTGCAAAGTGCAAGAGAAACATAGACCAACTTGAGGCAGTCACCCTATTGATCCTCATGTTTTACAATAAAATATGTATCCTGTTATTAAAAGAGCATTTGGAGTCTGGATTCACTTTCAAGAATACGTAGAAACAGAATCCAGCCAAATAGACTATGAAACAACTCATAAAAAAAGAAGGTTGATTAAACACCAAAAAGACTAATAAATTTTGAATATTACAATCAAACAGGTCATAAATGACATTTTCAATGTTTTCACACCATGTGTCATCAATTGCTCATCCACTATCACTGTCATTAGAATCCTGTGACCAGTTTAGCCATTAGTAAAACAGAAGAGAGTCCACTCATCAATGAGGAAACTGTTTATGATTTCCTCCCAACATCTGCAGGCACATTCAAAGACAAATGACTACTGATTCAAGTCATCCATATTAGAACGTTTATTTATGAATTCTATTTTTTTTTGAGAGACAGATGACCATATTAAGTATACGTATTGTTAAAAAAAACCTATGAGTTGTGGGTATAGCTATCCCACAAAACGGGTGCTCATAAAGTACAAACAAAAAGAAGCAATAGATCTAGAAAGTAGTAACAAAACATGGAATGCAATGAGGAAAGAAGAGCAGGAACTATAGAGAATGAGAAGAAGTGCAAAAAGTAAAATTGAAAAAGAGATGGGAGAGAGAAATGAGGTGCCTGTCGGCCACAAAATGAAAAGCCAAGAGTTAACAGTGGGAAAGAGAGATTAAAAAGGTGAAAAGAAGAGTTTAGAAAAAGACAGTCGAACAGAGGACAGCAATAGCCAAAGGTTGAGGTAGAACCCACTTACAAGGGAAGAGAAGGGGAGTAGTGCAAGGAAGCAGCAAAATGTAACGAGTTGAGAGTTTTGAAAGGGGGAGACAAGAGGAGATTAGCGAGAAGATTCCATGAAGAGCCATGAGTACAGAAGGCTACGAGGCACTGAGCGAGAGAAGAGTTTAGAGAGTGGTAGAGAAATGGGGGTGGGGGAACAGAAAAGGGCAGAAAAGAAGTGTAATGTATGGGGCTGTTTGGAAGGGAAAATAGAGAAAGATGAAGTACATGGCGAGAGTGAGAGTATGGGAAGACAAGAAATATTTATGTATTTATGCATGTTATTATTCACCAAACTTTTTTTTGTTGTATGGAGTTTGTTAAACGAAACAAGGTGTTGAACAAATATTGTGCATTTTATGTATTTTATCACCAATGAAGTCCTTTTTTATATGGTAAACTGATTTCATTAAACAACAAAGGGTACTCCACCAACCAACCAAACGAAACAGGAGTGGCAAACCAAAGAGATACTGTCAAAGGGGATGTTAAGGAAACAACTCAATGACAAGAAACAAGAAGGGCACCTGTGGTAGCAGGTGGTGCAACACAGGTATGGGCATGACAAATCAGGTTGGCTGCCTAGGGGCTCAGCCAAACCAAAATTCCTCCAGGGCATGGAAAGGGATCTCATCTCAAATATTAGATCCAGTGTCAGAATGGCTGACAAGATCAGGCTGTAGAAAGAATTGTAAATCAGGAACTCTGCTTTAGAGCCACTCTATCCAAGGTTATACTCGCTAGCAGTGGACCAGGGGACCTCAGTGAACCAATCCTATGAAATCATCAGCAAGCAGCTCGCATGGTCTTCTAAGTTCAGGGGCAATCTTAGGGACGAATAGATACCAGAGTTGGCTACAGTCCTTGATACTAGCACACTTTATATTCCATGCCTGGGCAGGGATAGGAGTGGTCTAGGTACCTATCCCTAATTGGTGTTTTCTCGATGGCTTTCTTTTACCAGGCCCTTAACCACAGCCCTAACCCTTCTGTCTTTTCAGCCATAATGCTTGGTTTCTCCCCTACCCCTGAAAATACAATGGGTAAAGGAGGAGGTTGTGTTAGGTAAGCAGCCAGCATAATTTTCTTTCTTTCTTTTTTTTTTGGAGAAAATTAACCTTCAGCCAGCATAAAACTTGCTGGAACTATCCGTAAATCATGAATCTATGTTATCTGATGAGATGATGAACAAGGTAGTCGCAGCCAAGAAGGCTTTGACCCATGACCAGCCACAATAAAGAGGTGTCATACTGCCCAGTCATCATGCCATGTGCAAGGAGAAGGAAATGACACATTACCTCTTCTTACACTGCCCGGTATCGAGCAAAATCCAGGCCTCATTGCTCATGTGCTTCAGGTGGGTATGGGTGGTCCCACAGTTGATGGACCAACTTTTATTGGTTTTCCTTCTCCCTCCTTTCCCACCGTCATGGTTATTTATGTGGCTGGCCACCCCGCTATGACAATACTGAGATCTGTTTGGAACATAACAGTAGGATTTATGAGAACTGAAATCTTCGAGTAGAGAGAGTCATTGACCATATCTTCGGCGAAGTGATAATTTGGGCAAGAAACGATAAGGAATTTTGAATTTTCTAAGTGGAGGATTTCATGACGAATTGGAAAGCCATCCTCTACTCTGAACCTGTGCATACGCAGCAATCAAGCTGCTGGTTCCCACCAGAAACTAGTATTGTCAAAATGAACATTGATGGCTGCTCTCTCGACAACGCTGGCCTTGCAGAGCTCAGGGGAAATTTTAGAAATAGCTAAGCACGTGTTTTGCTTATTTTTTCATGCCTTGTGGGACTGCAGATTCCTCCACCACCAAGGCATCGGTCTTTCCCTGGAGACTAAAACAGATCTGTCACCAAATACTGGTAATCACCAGCTCATATCATGTATCTTTCAAGCATTCATGGAGAGAACCAAGGCACCATGTAGAATACATCCCCTCTCTCTCTCTCTC